GTCCTTTCCAACCCAAACCATTGTATGATTCAGCACCTTACATCATCATGTGACAAACAGTGAAAATAGGTGTCAGGAGAACCAAAGCATCTTTCTCACTTCCTACCATAAGTAGTCATCTGCTGTGCCTTTAGCCACCAGGTAGTGAACATTAACAGAGCTGGTCTGTCCAATTCGATGTGCCCGATCTTCTGCTTGGATCAAAACCTTTATGTAAAAAATGACAAAGAAAATAAAGTGTGAACTGCAACATCTAAGAAATAGTGTAAGCACCAGAGAACAGGGAGATCTCACTTATTGTGCTTAGCAACTATTTCTCATCTGGATCCTCTTAACACCCACATCCTCAAACACAGACTAACCCAAGTAATCTGGTGCACCACGTTCCCAAAAGGCACTGAGCATTTTTCAATAGCATTAACGATGCACCCTTTCAGGTCTTGGCTGGGCAAGCAATTGAGAGCTCTGTCAAATTAAGAAACAGGAGCATGTTTCCCTTTCAGACCATATTCTCCAGCCAGCAAGCTGTGTAACCAGCCTCACTGATTCAAGCCCAGTCACCTGGGGGTGAACACACAAGTAGCCATCAGAGAAAGAAAGAGAAAAACCCTAGAGAAACTCCCCTGCCTATTACATCTCTTCCTTAGCACGAATGTTTCTGCTGTAGGGATCATTCAACCCCTGTCCCCTCCACAGTGCATACCCCTGGATTCCAGAAGAGCTCTGCAAACACCACCAGGTCTGCAGCAGACAATGTCAGGCCCATGTTTGCAGCAGTGAGGGACAGAACAGCCACCACCTGCTTCTCTGACAACTGGAACTTCTGGCACAGAGACTGTCGCTCGGCTGAAGGTGTGGAGCCATCAATGCGAATGTATTCAACATGCTGTGAAAAGGCAGAAGAGACTTCTTAGAGGCCCTCTTGTCCCCTTTCCTGTACCCTCCTTCCATGTTCGAGTGGATTCTGTTTTCCTTCCCCACAGCAGAACCAGGAAAGTAAAAAGGCACCAGTTGTCTTTTTAAGACCTTTCCTCATCTTTAAGGCAGAGGCACTGTAGCTCAGCATATAGCCTACCTTCCCCCTGTTCACAATGCATGACTTGCTCTTACGTCCACTACTCTCCCACCAGTCCTGAGCAACAGGAAGGACAGCAATAAGCTGGCAACTCGAGTACAGTGGAAATGCAACTGGCTTAATATGAAGCTGAACACTGCTGATATTACAGCTGCTACAACCTCCCCAACCTTCTTAAGTCTTCCCCTGTTGGCAGTGGGAATCCTACACATCTTAGTTGCTCCGTAGTAGGCTCAGGAGAGGCATGATAAACTTGGGTAATGTAGAGCCCTAACTCTTTGGTGTCCACCCTCCTTGCTCTACTGGAGGATGCAGCCAGAGAGGCAGCACTGCCACAGTGGTTTATGGTTTGGAATATTAACTTAAACCATCCGTTACACTGCCCCAGCATGACCCAGAACTCTGCAGGGGCATTCCATGAAGTCTCACATGAACAATTAACCAAACTTTTGAAGTCAGAGAGATGACTGGCAGGTATATCAAGTCTCCCTACAGTATCCCAGTTCAAAAATATAAGAGCACCACAGAGATAAAGGGAGGCAGCTACAGCCATTACATTCTCCCTCTCTGAAGAAAGCCTGGAGGACAAAGCAGAGATGGCCACACGGGGTAACACTCCAAGAATTCACAAGCTCCAGGGCAGATGATGAAGATTAAAGAACGTTAAATACAACAAAAGCCATTCAGCTAATACAAAGTGCATCCTGTGAGGCATTCACCCTGACAGCTCAGCTCCCTCAGTGAAGGGCATATTCAGAAACACAGCAAGTAGAAATTATTTCTGCCACTAACTTTCATAAACTATCTGACCGGCCATAACTCTGGGGAGCTCTTAAACAGCTTTGAAGCTGGAGTAGTGATAAAGTTAAGATGACTCAGTCAATTACTTACTTTCTTCTCCAGCTCTGCAACTATTGCATCCAGCACTATCTTGTGATGAGCAAACACCAGGAATTTATTATTGCCACTTTCCAGTAAGTCCAGGACGTATTCTCTACATGAAAAAGGAAAAAAAAAACCAAACCAAACCAGAACTCTAAAATTATGTGCTGACAGAATACAGGCTTGCTCGCAACAAATTTTAAAGATACTGTTCATCTATACAGAGAAACTAGGAAATAGGCTAGCATAAAAAAGTTGCACTAAAAAGCAAGTAGCAAGTCAAGTTTCCTACAGATTAAAAAAAAGACACTGCAGGATAATCCACTCATTTTTCTTCACTGCAGCTGGACATGTGCCTACGTTTATATATGGGTATCACTGAGAAACAATTTATTATATCCTACTTGAAACATGACATCCAGACCAATCAACTGGAAGTCATCTATATGTATTTGATGACCTCATTCACCCTCCTGTATTTCTAGCTTTTCACAATCACAGCATGAAAAGATAATCTGTGTACAATTATCCTTCCTGTGTTCACTTAGGACTGTTTTTATTTTAGGAGAAAATGTCTCTAAATGCATAGATCAGAGTATCCTAAAAGTAGCTTTTCTCTCAAGGGTTCACACTGACAATTTACTATGGCTTAAGCAATCTAAATACAACAGCTATTTCTAGGAATTATCCATATGCATATAGACTAATGACCAATAAAAGCTAACAACACCCCTTTAAAACATTTAAAGAGTGTTAATAAAATGAAAACATCTGGCTTTTGCCATGGACTAACAGCAAAGCCACAAAACCCATTCCTATGTAGTAACCTATGCTACAATCACGTTAGCTGGAGCCTGAAAATCACCTATAAGTCTATACAGATGATACAACTATCATCTTTTCTTTGGAATAGCAAAGTTGTTGAAAAGATCAGGAATACCAAGTTCTTTGCTAAACACATCACAGCTTAGGTCAGCAGCAACTTATCAACCCTGTATTACGGTGTATCAGTGCCTTGCAGATAGCTCCCAGGGTTCATGACGTTCAGATCACAATTACATGACAGTATCATTTAACAGAGAAAGCTGGGAGAGAAGTGGGATTGCTGGATTTTAAAACAAATATCAAAGTGAACATTCAGTGTAGCAAGCAGATGCCAACACACCACAACTACTTTATACCTCATTCTCCATATTCCATTTAACAAATGTCTAGTTGTTTTGATGGAAGCAATGGAAATCACTGTCAACAAGGGTAAGACATGGGAGGTGCTGATGATCATGGGACAGTACAATTAGCTAGATGGTACTGTACCTCACCAGCTTCTAATAAGCAGTATTCTAAATGCTACTAAACCTAAAAAAAAAAAAAAAAAAAAAAAAAAATTAAAAAAAATGGACTATTCCCTAACAGATCTGGTGAGTCAAGTAAACAGCACTTCATGGTTTTATATTCAGTTCACACTTGCAACTGAAATAAAAGGAAGTCTTCTAACTGTTCACTAACATAAAAGGAAGAAACTCTTCTACAGAAATGAGCACTGGGACTCTGAAGTGCAGTTCTGTGCTGAACAGGCAAATTCTGCAGCAAGGTCTGAGACTCTGAAATCACCCAGTGCACATCAGCTGGTCCTTATATTCAGAGATCTGCAAAAATTAAACTGTTTTCACGTTATTAGCATACTACTTATTAAACAGTTATGCTATATGACTTAAAGCAACTCCTTGCAGTCCCAGCAAGAACCCAGAAAGGCTAAGGATGAAAGGGCACAGAAAGTCATAGAAGGAAATTATTCCTAGGGAAAACAGAGTTAAAAGCACACCCATGATAAAAAACTGCTGCTGCTGAGGTCCCATGTGAGCCCTGTGGAAGAGCAAAGAACTTCAGCAGGGGCTGTAACATCCTGACCAGCATGCTACAGCTGAAGCTCAGTCCACATCGTAAGCTTTTTGGCTCAGGGCTCCTGCTGAAGCAGGACTGCAGCATTTGTTTTCTCAAATTTTGCTTCTCAGATTGATACTTCTAATTTCATTACTTCCCCTGCTCCTTGAATTGCAATGGGGTCTGGACGAGAGAACCTGATCAAAATCCCAACATCAAGTAGTTTTAGATGGTTCAAATGACAGTTTAGATCCATATCTGGAATGAAATCAGACTTATTCTGCCTAGGAACTCTAAGAGAAGAGAATGTTTAGTGCATTGTAATTAAAATCAATTTTTTTCTGCACTAGCTTAAGGCTACGCTTCATGTCTCTGCACTGTTATCTCTAAGGCACCATTTTCCTGTTCTCAGTGAGAAAACACATTTTACTAGGCAAGAATGAAGCAATGACATGCAGCTTACACGACTGAATGGATTTTAGCTTCTGCTGTGCTGCTGTAGAAGACAAGAAGTGCTTCCTTCTCCTGTTGTTTCTGTAGAGAGAAAGATAAATAAATGTGAGCTTCAGAAATGCCTTTTCTCCTTTTTGCTTACAGATCTGGGATGTCTGCTGCTGCCAATAAACATTTTGCTAGGAGGAAAAAATCAGCCTAAAAAAGCACAACAAAAGGGGACTGGATGGGAGGAGTCTACTCACCACTGTGTATAACAGATACTAACATACTCCTACTTCTGACACCTCCTTTCCTACCTCCTACTCAACTCCTACAAGTTGGATGACAAGCATATCAAACATGTAGTTTAGTTGAGAAAGCACTTCCAAACTAAAATGGCAAAGAAAAACTCCCAAGTTCTTACAGAACTGTATTGGCAACCTAGGAGCCTAGAACATTTGCCATCCATACAAGGAAAACGGAGTAGGGGGGAGAAAGGCAAAAATATCCTTCACATTTTTGGCTACTGCTGTGCTCACAACGCATCTTCAACAGGGCTGTGTTTGTAGGGTGAATGGGATTACAAGGCAAGACAGAAAAGTACAGAGGCAGGAGGTACAAAAGACAACTAGAAAGGACTAATGAGAGAAGAAAAAAAGAAAGAGAAAATGGTATTTCATACAAAAAGGGACAAAGTAGACCACTTAAAAGGGGAAAAAAAGCTGAGCTGTTTTGATTGTGTTGTACATTCATTTAAAACTGTGCCTTCAACAGCCTTCCATGGTGCCTTCACACAAAGTGTGACTCTGACCCTCCTTGCAACTCAGAGTACTTTTTTTCCACTGATGCTTTAAACCAGGTACCTGAAACACCAATGGCTCATCATGAAAACAGCTCCCAACTTACACTTTTATATCCTTTGGTCATCATCTTTGCTTCAGCTGCCAAGACAGCTTTGGTCTTTGCACCAATCTTTTCAGGAGCCACCACAACCATTTTCCGTTGCTTTGCTGGAAGCTGGGAAAGCACATCTGATTTCAGACGTCGGATCATGATGGACTCTTCCAGCAAAATTTTCAGTTCAGTTAAATTGGATGATCCAGAGTAGTCCCAACCCCACGGCATCTGGGAAAGATCAAAGCAGTTATCAGTGTCAAACTTAGAAGAGACTGGTCTGCAAGTGATCCAAGAGTCGAATAAGCTTCCAGGAAAACTGCGCAAGGCAGGTCAGTAGGGGAGATTTGACAAAAATGGCAACAACGTTGAACTGTACTAACTAATCCACACAACATAAGAAGGTTACTTACAAACTTCCCTTTTACTAATCTACAAATGCTTGGGGAGGTGCAGGAAAGAGGACTATGCAGAAAAGGTAGGGATCCCTCCCACAGCGCTGTGCCCTGGTATTAATCCTCACACAACAAGGTGTTTCTGCTCTCCACTTGCAGCTCTGGGCAGGCTGACAGAACTCTGCAGTTCTGTGCACACACATTCACCTCAGCTTTAAGCAGACACACGTGCACAAAATCTTCTCTAACAGTGTAAGGAAAAACATCCTTAACTCAAATGCTTTCACACAGATGTTACGCTTGTCTGACATGCCTGGTAAATGCTAGGTCAAAACTGCCTGTTTTCCACTGTGATCTGTCTCTTGATCTGCTTCCTGACATAGTTTCTGCCATTACCACATCTGGCTTAGACTCAAGCAAACCATAAATAAACTGTTGCCTAAAACACATCTCTCCAACTATTGTCTCTGCAAAGTATCATCACTTCAAAGCTCCTCCAAAACTCTTTATTTACTCCTCCTTGAAGCACTCGCCTCTAAACCTGCCCTATCCTCCAAGAGCCTGTGTGCCAACGGTACATAGCTTCTATTCATCTCAGCTCGTCACTTCTACTAGTAACCTCAGAGCTTATCATTTGTTCTCTTCTGGAAAAGAAAACTAAGCTGATAAACACCGGCATCAAAATTGGTACATTCCCCAAAAGAAACATCTTTAACCAACTTTTTTTTGGAGAGGAGACCAATAAGGTTTTTATGCTGAAGGATAGAGAGACACCTTCGTGCTGAAGTTTTCACAAACGAGTGTATGAGATACAGCTATGGGAATACTGTAAACCACAGCAGGGGAGAGGCGAGATCTTCCTCACAGCTCTAATTCCAAGTTTTACTGGTAGTGTCACCAAAAGAAAGAAGCCAAAAAATACAACCTCGGGTCTTGGAATAACCCAAAGCAACCCAATACACCCTCCTGAAATGCATACTATGGAGACGTGCAGAGCCTCAGCACCAAACCCCTCTGATCTCCTGCTCCACTTGCACCACATTAATGGCTAAAATAGATTTAGCCTTAAAAATCTATGTATCTTTTATTTGCCTTCCCCAAGAGAAACCTGTTGCAACACAGAAATGGGAGTAAAATAGGAAAACACTCCAAAGTATTCACTGCACCCTCCTTCCTCCTGTAGAATGCGTGAGACAAAAAAAAAAAAAAGTACAATCATACCAGCCATGAGCTTAGTCATGTTACTGACTGCTTTAAGAGATAGTGCTTTGATGGAACATGGATGAGAACATGCTATGAGAGAGAAAGAGGAGGAATCAAACAGCTTATAGGCAATTAAGACCTCCCTGTTATCTGGAAGTGAACATTTCTACTTCAAGATGAGACATAACAGGACTATCTGCAATTCTGTTTCCATATTGTACTGATGTGAACCATTAACTGACTTCAGATTCTGGAACTTATGGCCAAACTCATTTGACTTAATCTATTCCTACATAATTACAGTACCAGCTGATTATCTATAGTCAGCTCATTAACCCAGGAAACAATTCAAGCGCTAGACACAAAGCCAGTTTGGATCCTGTAGAGTTAAAACTTTGGCTCTGACACAGTGGTATACAGCTAGAGGTAATAAGCCCACCTGGATCCAACTCAAATCCTAAAAAAGGCAACATGGGTATTACTGCTCTGCTTCCCTGAAACCAGGAGTGCTATGCAGATACATCCCTCTGGTCTGTGAAAAGTTTAGCTGGGTCTATTAGCTTTAGGCATGCTGCAGGAAAGCTGACAGTGCTGAGCCCCAGTCTTTGTGCCCCTTTTCTGCATTTCTTCAGGCTGTGTGGACCCAGCAGAAGAGATGTACAGCAACAAGAACGACTCATCTGGTGCTGCACCCAGTCTCATAAGCCCTCTGCCCACACTGCTCAGTGCACTGGTAGCTAAGCAGCAGGGATCAACACTGACCAGGCTACTGAGCAAGACCTGCTACATCTCTTCAGGCTACCCCATTCTACTCATGCAGCCCATGTTTTCCCACTTCCATGGAACACAGAATAAAACTGTATGTTCTATGTTCCAATACATAGAACGTATGTATTACTTACTTCCAAACAAGTAATACATACGTTTGTGTCCATGTAGCACAATCTGTTTCAGAAGAGTAACACTACCATAACTAAAAGAACAGGCATATACAAAGCCAATATACTATCTTCTGTCATATTAAAAAGCATATACAGGCAGAATCCCTAAAATATGTTCAGATCACTGTATTGCTTTTATGGTGACTGTTGCTGGAACAATTTTCAAACAAGGAAACATGCTAGTTCTGTGTTGCACCTAACTAGTGATAAAACGATTACTATTCTTAGAATTATTAAAATACAGTTTAGTATATCCTATCATAGAAAAGACGGACATGTATTTTGCTAAAATACACATCTGTCTTTGATACATAGCATTCCAGAACAAATGCTTCCAACTGTGATTTTCTTACCAAAGTGTTACAGCATCTTACATGAGTCAGTAAACTTATTACAGTGTTAGTAGAAGCTGCCAAACTCTTACAAATTCAGAGCATGTGCTCAGATAGAAATTAGTTAATATTTGCCAACATCACCCAGTTTGAAAAATGAATTTGCAGCATGCATTTTGGGAAACAGACTTGAAATATTTTGTAAATAAGCAGGTGACATTTCACTTGCTGTATTTTTAAAAGTACAGATGCTAGGAGGTTGAATTACAAAATTATAAACTTTTATTTTATCTCTTTTCTATCATATCTGCCAGATATTTGAAATTTTCTCTCATAAAATCTATTATCTTCAAAGAGAAACTAGTCAGGTTTTAATTTTAAATTGAACAGTTCAAGTTTGTCAATTTTTCTTTAATCTTGTAATGTAATCAGATTTATTAGTAATACTAAAACATCTTTATGTTAGCATCTTTCATCCTGACGGATCTCCCAAAGCCTTGCAAAACCTCTCTGGTTATGTGCAATTCCATCTCCGCTCATAACGCTGCCACTTTCAGGATAGAAAGAACCTATTTAAGTTATGACAGCAGAAGTACCACAACAGTTCTTCAGAGAGGATGTAACTCTTAATACAATCTCAGTTTAGTTGCAAGAAGGAACATGAGGGACATACTACAGTCATGAGGGAACAACTACAATCATCAAAACACCTTTTAATTTACTCATTGCTGAGTGGATCTAAGGCAACCCAACATGCAGCAGTACCATTTTCCCCTTTAATACACATCTCTATTTCCAGCAGTCCCATTTCTTCTCTAAATAACCAAATTCTAGGTTCACTCTATCATTTACTGACATAAACTGTAGCAAAATGTCCCAGGCGAGGACTGAGCCCAGTTCAATGTTCACCTGTCTAGTAGGGGCAGGTCAAACAGAGAAATGAAATTGTACTAGAAACCCTGCAGAGGTTTGAAGGGAAGCTGATACAGACTGTGCCCTCCATGCTGAGTTTCACTGTGGGTTCAAAACTCATTTACACAGAATACACTGTTACAACCTGGATCATGTAAAACAATTTTATTTCTTTTATCCAATTCAACATTTTACCTGAGGTCCATATGTCCTGTAATTGAAGCAACAACTAGTGATGCAGAACTTTACCCTCAAAGGGTTTATAAAACTCCAAACCTATTTAGACTCCTATGTTGCAATTCAGTTTTCTTTTTTAGTGCAGAAAACCAACGAGATTAAACTACATCTCTTAATTTCCCTCTAGGAAGCATTCTGGACATTACTCAAACAGAAATCCTTCAACAAAGATAATGTAGCTCAGCAGAAGACATGGCACTCTCCATCCATATGATTGCTACTATGGATGGAGAAAGAGTAAGTTTATCCTGTCAGGAAAGCAGCACTTTGCTAACTTGAATACTGTCATCTTCCAGAACTCAAGCTCTGTATCTGTGATCCTGCATGCTAACAGCCTTACTTTAATCAGCCTTACTTTAATGGCACCAGCATACAAGTACCAAAGCCAATGAATTGCTCATCTAGCTTGCATATTTGGGCATAGATAGAACAGCACCATACTGGCTATGAAAGTAAAAGTGGGTATTCAGATCTAGGAAAAAGGGGACTTGAGAACTTTAACTTTATATGAGACTACAGTACGAACTTGAGAACACTTGGTGTATGTTAGCTTCCCCAAAGAGGGAAAAGAAAACAAGCACAAAACCCCTACAAATAACTATAACAATTTTTATAGCATATAATGATGTTCGGTTTTTCTGCATATATTTTTGAGCACTGAAATGGTCATTTCCAGCCACTCTGCTGAAAGTTATTGCCTAGTCTTAGAGAAAAGGAGGCACAAGAAGTAAAATGGATTATTTGAGAACAAAGAAAAGTAAGAAAGTTTGTATGTCCACGCCAAGCCTGGGTAACAGCTGGACTTGATCTTCAAAGTCTTTTCCAACCTAGTTAACTCTATGATTCTGTGCCACATGCTAATTGCTACATGCTTGTCCTGGAAGAGCTGAAGAGCAAGCCAGATTAGAGGGCTCTTGCTCCAAATCAGAACTCAGGGGAACTTCAGCTCCCATTTTTGTGTCTGTGCAACCAGCACAGAATATCCTAGAGCCTCCATGTACAACAGGCTGCAGCAAGAGCTTGTCTCTTAGCAGTGTGTGTTTCAACACATGCAGCAGCCATAGAGATGGATAACCCAAGCACAGCTAAGATGCCTCTACACTGGGAGCAAGGCAGACACCTGCCCTCACGGCTGCAAATGGTGGCTTCCTGTGAAGACAAGAACTTGCAGTGACTAGACTCAATGACTATGCTGAAACCACTGCTGAGCAGCTGGCAAAGATAAAAGTTAATTTAGTATCAAGATATACTGAGGATCACATCCATTTCGTGAATTAGAAGAGGGTAGAATACAAGCATGGACTACAAGTCTTCATTTTTTACTTACATGGAGTTATAAAATCCCAAGCAATATACACCTTTGTTGAACAGTCACAAAAGCAGACTAGACACTTTGGGGAGGGGTCTAATCAATAAGCCCAAACCTGCAGCAGCTTAATCATCCCATAGTTACTCTGCCCATTTAAAACACTCTGGGGGCAAGTTCTTATTAGAATAGGCTCCTTTCTCCAACTGTGGCTTATTTATTTATTTATTAAAGCTACCTACTTCTGTGTCTTTTGGGCCAGATTTTGACTAGAAGCATCACTTCCTGCATGTCTCAGGAGCAGCATCTAGAGCGTCTCATGTTAGAGCTTTCAAAATGTTACTCTGCAGTGAGACTTTCTCAAAAAAAGATGTAACATGAGACACAAAGAAAAAGCCTCCACAGTTTGAAAAAAAATATAATGATGTTTGCTGAAGTACCTTCCTGGCATCGCAATAGCGTAGCCCAAAGGAGTGGAACTGGGGGAAGAAGGCTGGCTGGACAGCTGCAATCTGCGTGTAGAGCTCTGCAGGCCGTGACATAGCAGGGGTTCCTGAAAGCAGGATCACTCTCCTGGCAGCCTGGGAAAGCAAAACAGAATATTGTTATCATACAGCTTAAAATATAAGCAGAACCTGCTAAGTAGTCATCCCCAGTCCTGGAAGAAAATCCCAGAGCCATTGTCCAAGCACCCTTAATGGAGGAGTGCTTCACCATCCACATATACTTGCAGCCTTCACAGCCCGAAGACGCTTAAGGACAGTGCTCAAAACTTCTAGGAAGCTAGAAAAAAACATTGGTTTTGATTCATTATCCACATGCTGTAAGGGAAGGGGACATCAATTTTTATGACGCTACTTTCTGAATTGACACTTACCCATTAGGCATGTTAATATCTTATGCCTGGCTCGATTTCTTTTGTCATCAGATGTCACAGGAAAGTGACACACCCTCTCAGGTACATCCTCACCTCCAAAATAAATTCTCTTGTAATAAACCTGCCACAGCAAGCCACAAATAGATTGTCTTCCTCACAAAAGCAGAAAGATCCAGAGAAGGAGGATTTTTTTTCTTACTTTCAGTTCTTGTATTTTTCTTTTTCCTTTTAAAATTCTACTAGCAAGGAGAGAAAGATGCTGCTGCCTGAAGCAGGACCAGAAGATGCCAATCTGACAGCCACGGTGAGTCTAGGCACAGCTGGCTGGATGCTAGAACATGAGTTCATAATACAAATCATGTAAGAAAATTGTAAAACATGTGTTGTAGGGGACACAGGAAAGGGGTGGGAAACCTGTATCTAAAGTATGTGCTTCCAAAAAAAGCAGAAAAAAAATTACACTATAGACATAAAAGCCTCCAAGATGCATTTCTACCCTCAATACCTCCATTATTATCTAATTCTATTATTGGATGAGAGCTATGAATTTTTACTGCTGTAAATTCACATATAGTAGTTAAATTACACATGCCTTGTAATTTCCTGCATGGTTTAATGCAGGTTCGTTAAAATAACAAAGAGATTCTTGAGTGACATCTGTACCAACAGCTCATTCACATTTAAATGAAAAAGAAAATTAAATTCTTTTATCATTTCACTGAGATCTTCCAGTCAACCCAAATCTATTCAGCTGATTCATCCACTCACGAACCAAACCTGGTGGAAAAAGAGTTCACAGATCAGCTACCGGAAATTAACTTCAGGACTTTATCAGATATTTATATATAGGTTGTAGTCAAAGTGGGACTTGTTTTCTCCCAGTAAATTCCTATAAACATTTAGACAATTCCCATAAGCATTTAAAAGAGCAGGATATTTACTGAACTTAATAAAAAGCAAGGTCAAACCTTTGGACATGTCAGAACACGAGAGTTAGTTCGCGCAAGACAGAGGTGCCTATGGTACTCAAAAGACAGAGGAGGCCTAGAGACGGAAGATACCAGATCCCAAGAGAAAACAAAATGATAAAGCAGAAATGAGGTCAATTTTAAAAATTAAGGTAACAGTGGAGGACACCTGAGCAGAACCTAGACAATATCTGATCCCTTGTAGAAGCCTTTGAGGAGTAAACTGACACCATTCTGAGAAATCCGTTGAAACACAAGACGAGCTAGTCCCACACATACAAGAATCCTCCAAATTAAAATTTTTCCTCCTGGGCTAACAGAAAGCTACTGCTAGGAAAAAGACAACATGAAGGTCATGCGATTACAGACAGCTCATTTAAAAAGAACTCCAGATTAAGCTAAAGCAAGAAATGTTCACTCAGACAGACCAGGGACACATTAAGTGCAACACAAACCCAACTGTGTTAAAAGGTTTTATGCCATTCTCAAGACTCCTCCTCTCTAAAGGGTGTTCTCTAAGAACTACATGAGACAAGGCTGGAACACTAAACCCCCAGTAGTCAAAACAATTAGTCAGACTACTTCCCCAATCCCTAGATAGGTACCAAAAGAGAGAACAATGAAGTTACCAGTCATTCTAAACTTGTCCAGCTGCAGCTTTGCAGCGCACAGCTTATTTCTGAACAGACAGGGCATCTAACCACTGCAAGCACCTACCAGGGCTGTGATACATCTTCTATAATTAACCATTTTAAGCAAATCGAGAAGTAAAAAATGGCAAGAAAAAATAAGTCAAAACAACAAAAACCAAAAAAACATTAGCTCAACTGCGAAGAACTTGAAGAAATTAATTCCAGAAAATCATGTGGAACACAGGTGATGCAGTTCATTATCCCAAAGGTCCTTTTAAGTTTTAAAATCCACGACAGAAGGAGCCGAAGAAAGAGGAGAAAAAAAAAAAATCCTAGGAAGACAAGCCTCCAAGTGTTGAAGGCTTACTTAAATTCTGGATGAAAGAAACTGCTTTGATTCACATTTCCTTTTCTAGTGGCAACTCATTTTGAATAGATGCCAATAAAGATTTGCTCCTGCAGAGAAGTCTCTGCTGATCACTGCTTAATTCTTGTTTCCTGCTGGAGCTTCTGTGCTGTCAAGAGTGAGAGCTTATCCTCTTTCTTGGGAGGTCTAGAAGAATAATATAGAACAACAGCACAGAAAATAAGATTGCAGGGACCAGAAAGTACTTTCTAGCAAAACCAGATCTGTAATCAATTGATACATATTTCCACATAGGAGAACTAACATTAGCTGCTCATTAGCATTTAGGCATGAAATTAAATCTTCCCTAGAAGCGTTCCTCTCTCACGGGTCACTGTGACTGTTCTTAGAGCTACTTTCTTGTGAATTGTTCAAGGGAACTCTGACAGTGGCTTGACTAGTGGAGACCTGGTCTATAGCCCTCATTTACGAAGTTACATTAAGACAGTTGTGGCTTTTTAGCATTACGGTTTCACACACAATACATCAGCAAGAATTAATTCTACAGCTGTGACAACATTTACAAAAGTTATTTTTGAAAGTCAAAGAATAACTTATGGCACTTATTTCGGAGGCCAAAACCCTGCATGCAACTGATTCAAAGCGGAGTAGGTGAGGAGAAGGGGTTATGCCACAAAGAAATAATTGAGCATGCAAAAAGCCTCCTTAACTTACAATGGCTGTCCTGTGTTAAATGACTTTCACAGCATGAGCTCTGCCATATGCTAACAGACTGACATACTTTTAAAATAAGCGTGGCTTATTCTGGCTGTACAGTTACTTGTGTCCCCAGTTTTTGCTTACTCTGTCATTCTGAACTGCTTAGCATAAGAATACCTTATCCAGTGAAATAAAAAACTCTGAGAGTGACCATAATATAATAATCACCTGATGAAATAGAAGATTTGATAAAGGGAAAGTGTTGCAGCTGTTTTGGGGAGGCTGTTTCTGTACTTGGGTAAGATAGAAAGGGGTCTACATTTCATAAGATGATCCTACAGTGGTTATTCAAAAAAATATAAATGCCTTTCCCTATTTTTAAGTGACATCTTAGAGAATGTGTGTCCAATGGTGACAATCAGCTATGACTGAAGCAAATTACACTACATCCCTATTTTGATAAGAAAGGGAAATTGGAACGTAAGAGCAGATCTGAAGACACAGCCTTGAGGCTTCTCCAGTTTCAAGATGAAGTTCCTTCTCTCAGCAGATGACAAGCAAAGGCTTACTTGTCTAATTCATACGGATTTGTAATGCCTAAAGACAGCTTCTATTTATTTCCCACCGGAAAGGGAGATTTTTGTGGTTCCTCCTCACATTCTACCTTCAGCATTGATCCATTTCCCTCTACTATTTTTAGGTGTGTTTCTTTATTAAAACAAGCACAAAGAATACTAGACTCCAGCCACACAATGTATTTGGACCTTCATAATACAAACAAAGACCTTTAACCCTGTGAACATCAGGACATGCATTATGCTATTAACCTGAACAGCAGCTCAATGGGAAAAATCACATTAGTAATATTACCTAAACATTGTGGAACAAAGCCCATAAAGAGCACAACAGGACTAAGACCATTTTATGCCATCAGAATCTTTGATTAGATACCACTTTTTATTTCTCAGTTTCTAACCCAGTTCTTCACCAAGAACTTACTGTCATGCTTCCAAGAAACTTATCCATGTTCCACTAAGAGCTTCCCCAGTTTCCACTGTGTTGCAGTACCCCATGCAATTACAGAAGAAGAAAGACCATGCAGCACTTCGGCTGGTTGAATGATGTAGAATCCTTTTCACTCCAGTCCCTGAAAGATCCCACCACACATCACTGAAAAACTTGTTTTGTTGTTGCTTCTTCATCTATGCCTCTGTGGCTTTATTTTATGGATGCTGGTAGCAAATATACTCCCTCTCCTATGTTCATGTCTCTGGGCCAGTCTAATCTTGGAAGGCAAAAATAAAATGTTTACAAAAGGCGTAACACCATGATACTTTCTGCCTCTGAGATGCAGGGCAGAGGTGAAGGGAACAACCAGTATCGTCAGGACACCAAGGAGAACTTAGTTCCAGTCATGACATTAAAGAAAACAGCAAGGTGACAGGTAGGTCCTATTACTGATTGCCACAGCTCTGGATTAGGGGCATGGACAAGCCAGGTATGACCAGGACTTTAGGCAACTCAACCAAAGCCCAACCAAAGCCAATCGTATGAGGCTATTCTCACTTTCAAATGTGTGGAAACAAGACAAAAGGACCACTCTGAACACAGGAACTTCTAAGACCTCTTGAATACCACAAGAGATGCTGAAGCTGGGGAGAGATGTCACACAGCTGCCGGCACAAACTGGCCAGCGTGAAAGCTGGCTGAGCTTGAAAGCAGGATTTCTGCCATATACCAGAACATCAAAAGACTGTTTTCTACTATGGCTTTCAATCCATCCACCTCCGTAATTTTGCAGGGATGCACACAGACTGTGTACAAACTCTGCCACCTGGTTCCATGTAGGCAGATGAAATATTCTCCCCCTTGTACAAGTCTGCACACCCACAAGTTTTCACATCCACTGGGAATGTGAAGGGAATAAGAAATGAGGACCTAACATTTTACTGCTGTTAATTCAGCTCACCCTATCTTACTGTTTGTGTAACTATTAGTTCCTCTCAAATTTTTGACCACAAACAATAAATTGGGTACAGCATGTCTTGTATACTTACTCCAAACTAGCGACAACCTGTGGCAAGCTACCAGTAGTAAGAATGGTTACTGCATACATCCAGCCATTGTAAAAGTGTACTAAAAAGTCTTTCTGGTCACACTTCCCACTGTCCAAAGCCAAATTTTCCTAAACCTCTGTCAGGGTAGCAGCTAACTATGTCACTAAGGTACTGAATACTACACACACCAAATACTGCACACACAGAGTCTAAGTTTTTTAAATTTTAAAAAAATATCCAGAAGTTCCCAACTGACAAACTTAGGCTACAAATTTAATGCATGGTTCTGCTTGATAATTCCATACCAGACTTGCTCCGTAATATATACAAGGAAGCAGGAAAAGATGAATTATTACTGAGTGGCTAAAAATACCACTTCACTTTGAAAACCAGTCAGTGTCAGATATTGAAACTAAAATGAGGCTTTAAATGCTGTAACCACAGGTTAAGTATTTCACAAGTGGAGATTCAGCTTGGCTAACAAGGCAGATTCAAAATTAATATCCAAGGCAAGTCATCTTTATTATGAATGTATTGATTTAGGGTTATTATTGCACAGTTCTGCCTAAACACAACGATTTTTATATTTTACTTATTATTCAAACAGAGAAGTCACAGGAATAGATTCTATCAAGATAAAAAGAATCCATTAAGTACAGATGGAAGTAACAGAAACATTTCAGGCTCAGAAAAAAATTTAACTTAGATCTGTACTGTGTCATTATGGACTCGTGTCTGTAGCGTGTACGGACCCAGGATCACATTTCTTGGGTGTTTTGTTTTGTTTTTTTTTCTTTTCTGGCCCCAAAACTCAATTCAAAGGTAAGATTTCATTCATTAGGATGTTGGGAACCTTGTTGGAAATAAAAGCATCTATGGCTATTTCAGAAATTTTAAAGTAGTATAATGCTAACAATAGTTAGAAGTGACAATGCTCAGAAGGTAGACAGTGCATGAATTGGCTCCAGCAGCTTTGGTTACAGCACTGGCATGGCTTTGTACTGTCACCTTAAGCTAGAGACTGAGGTGCTAGAAGCAACATATCTATCAGGGGTTGCCTATGGATACACATTTTCTTGGTCTCTTCCACGAGCCCCAGTACTGCACTAATCCTTTTAACATAAAGAAGGCAAGAGCAAGAATATTCTCCCCAGCAGCATGTTTCCATGTTTATCAATGCCTTTTATTTAATAATCTCAAAGTGTCACGTAAAATACAAAAAATACTCAGTTTTTACTCCATTGACTATTTACTAGAAAGATGACACAGTACAATTGTTAAATCCAGTATTCAAGTGATGAAAACGCCTTGTATTTTGGCAGTCTTTCAAATACAAAAGCATTGCTGTGACGTGCTGTGCCAATAGTGAACACAGCATCACTCACTAGTAGTTGAAGAGAAAGCTGCCGAAGGGGCTAATTTTAGAGCTAAGCACCTGTGTTGGAAAACAGAGAGGGCAGAAGAGTAGCTATTACAGCAAATGCTCACTTCAAAAGTTACAGTCAGCAAGCAGGAGAATAAAATTTACCTGAACGTCAAACATGAACTATCTGGTGCTGTATGCTGTTTACAGGTGAGATAATGCATGATATGAACAAGAAACTCTTATGCTTTCAGAACACTGAAATTCAGTTTCAGAAGCACCAGATCTCCATTTAAGACCAGCGATGTGACAGCATAAAATTGTAAATTCTCAGTAAATGTATACAGGCAATTAACCTATGCTTAACAGCTACCATCTTTCATTCTCTCTCTTTCAGCCTGCAAATAGTTTTGACAACCTGATCCTTACAAAGCTGCAAATACGAAAGGATGAGACCACTTTTTGAGCATTTTGCAGAGATTAATTTTCCTCCGTGAGGATTTTCCTCTAATGGTTATTTTCCACCATTTTCAGATATACACCCTAATTATTGTACTTCAAACTGCTCATAAAATTGGACTTCCTACTTAGTTTCCAAACATTTCAAGCCTGAAGTGATTTGAAAGCCAAGAGAAGAGTCAGGCCTTTAAAGGGAACAATGAAGCTATACAAGGACAACCACCTTCAGCTTGCCGTTAAGAATCTTTCATGTAAAAGCAGGTTGCTATAAAGTCATCACAGATCAAACCTTCTCTTTAGACAAACTTGCTGATAATTGCTGATAACTGCATTTACCTTGTTCTAATGTACTTGTCTAATACTCTGTAGTATCTCGAAACTACTGGTAACTTTAATCTGCTAGAGGCTACCAGGGAGACTTTGATTCTTTGATCCCAGGACAACAGGCAGACATTAAAATTTACATTTCTCCTGTTACTGAATAATTGAATATTGCCTCCTTCCTGTGGGCCACTTGTCTTGCTAACCCCACATTTTGCCATTTCCTACTAGTTCTGGACATTTAACCAGCAGGAGTGCTCCTGAACCCCAGCTACATAAATACACTGGAAGCTTGTGGGAAGAGTGTAGAGCCCTAAACCAAAGCCAAGGAACAGACCTAGGTAATGTCATTTTGACATATAGCAGCAATTTGCATGTCAGGAAGTAACTGATTATTTCCATTAAACAAGCTACGTTGACACTACTATTCTTTCTACTCTCCCTGAATACATCCAGTAAGTTTTCAAATTCCCTTTTCCCCATGACCATAAAATTCATCAGTGGCAGTACTTCTGAATTTCTTTTGTTAGGTCTTACCATCTAATATTTGTATGGAAACAAGTGACTAAGCCAGAGACAAATTTTCCTCTGGGATCTACAACGTTACCTGGATTTCCACTTGCACAACAGAATTCACCTGCTGGCTCCTAAACCTGGTAAATGGAGTAACACTGCTTTGGGAGCCAGACCTTAGCTGCTGGAGGTTTGGCACCCAGCATACACACCTTGAGTAGAGGCATGGCAGCTCGGCATCGTGCAGTTTTTATGTTCTTTAGGAAATGAGATTCATCCTGAAACGAAACAAGCATGAAAGTGAAGACAGTTTTGAGCCATAGTCCAACTGCAGGCTACAGGAGAAAATTCCCAGTATTCTCTATCTAATATTTCAAGCCTATCATCCCAGAGGGTATTTCAAGCACTGGGATAGCCATATCAAATTCTAAGTGAAAAGACAGCATGGAGAGTAGCAGGCTTTCCTACATTCAAACCCACAGCAGCAAGCAAACAGCACAGAGATCAAACCTTAAGGCTATGAATCTCAAATGACCAGATACGAGTGAGCAGAGGGGGCTGGACAGGGAAGGAGAAAGAGGAACATTATTTCTACCACCAGTATTCATTTGCCCCTATGTATCCTTTAAAGTCAGAAAATACAGGAGGCCTATACAGTGCCACTTCCCTAAATAAGGGGTTAATGAAAATGATGAGGGTAAAAAAAAAAAAAAAAAAAAAAAAAAGAAAAAGAAATCTAATTAGGATCCAACTGTTCTGCTGATAGGACTCACCAGGTGGATAATAGCCTCCTACTTGAGATATCACCGCCAGACAGACTTCATTTGTACTGCTGCAGCAAGGCAGAACTTAGACACAAAAAGTAGATGGTGCCTTCCAAGGGTATATTCTCATCTTTACACTTGTGGGTGAGCAAGCAACCATGCATGAAAAGACAATACAACTGCTTAGCCTCTCAGGCACTGCCTTCTCCCTCCTGATTAACGAATAAGCTACATTAATGTTCCCAGACACCAAAAGAAGATTGGGAGAAAAAGCAGGGAAGCTCAGCAGTCAGTAAGACTACTCTCACCTGTAAAAACATATACAGGGTCCAAATTTGAACATATAAACACACAGAAAGAACATCTGCCATCTCACGGTTCCATGGCAGTAGCCCTAGAGCCCAAGTCCCTTTACTCCAAGCACCAGCATATGAAAGTAACAATTCACATCTCCATCCTGACAGAATGGCTTGTCAGAGAGTGGGCAGGGGAAAAAGTAAAAATGGAGGGGGAGGGAATCAATTCCCCCATAAGTAGTTTGATCTTCAGTGAACTCCATCTATTCCCATTTGATGCTGAGAAACAAAAGCATTATTACATTCCAATTGTCATTATCTTAGGGACAGGTACGTATGTGTGCTGAAAACTATACTGAGAACATCAAACACTCACAGTAAGCTACAGATACGCTTTTGGTCTCTATTGATCCAAGCTGGATTTGAAACACTAGATGTTTTGAATTTTTAGTAACCGAAATCTAGAAAAATGCCCTTTATCATGGCTCTGTAAAAGGTTAAATAATGGATTTAAAAGTAACTTACAGAAGCAGCCCAGGCGCAGCTACATGTTGGGCGGAGAAGAGATTCAGAGCAGCCCTGTGGAGAAGGACTTGGGGGTGGTGGTTGATGAGAAACTGAACATGAGCCAGCTTCAGTGTGCACTTGCAGCCCAGAAACCAACTATATCCTGGGCTGCATCAAAAGAAGCGTGACCAGCAGGTCAAAGGAGGTGATCCTGACCCTCTGCTCCGCTCTCGTGAGACCTCAGCTGGAGTACTGTGTCCAGTTCTGGTGTCCTCAACATAAAAAGGACATGGAGCTGTTGGAACAAGCCCAGAGGAGGGCCACGAGGATAAGAGGACTGGAGCACCTTATGAAGACAGGCTGAGAAAGTTGGGGCTGTTCAGCTTGGAGAAGAGAAAGCTGTGTGAAGACCTCATAGCAGCCTTCCAGTATCTGACGGGGGCCTATAAGGATGCTGGGGAGGGACTCTTCGTTAGGGACTCTAGTGGTAGGACAAGGGGTAATGGCTTTAAACTTAAACAGGGGAAGTTTAGATTAGATCTAAGGAAGAAGTTCTTTACAGTGAGGGTGATGAGGCACTGGAATGGGTTGCCCAAGGAAGCTGTGAATGCTCCAACCTTGGCAGTGTTCAAGGCCAGGTCGGACAGAGCCTTGGGTGACATCGTTTAGTGCGAGGTGTCCCTGCCCATGGCAGGGGGGGTGGAACTAGATGATCTTAAGGTCCTTTCCAACCCAAACCATTCTATGATTCTATAAGAAATTATACAAGTGATCAAAGAAGGCTTAATGCAGGTTGTCAGTGGAACACAAGCAAAGGAAGGTTTTTCTATGCTTTATCCACATACTTGATGTTGAGATGTTATCTTTTTTACTGGGTAAACACTAACACCGCCCTAAAGTCCAATCCCCTTAAAAGATACAATTCCAAGACTACTGTACTGAAACACTACATTAAATACCATTCTCTCCAGCAGTGGACATGCCCAACCACAATGTAATCAGAGGGGCACCATAACCAGTAAAGGAGAAAACACAGCTTTAGGAATCATAAAGGAGTAACTCTACTAGTTATCTCAAAAGGTTTCAGGGAAACCTCCTGCTTCTACTCATGAAGACAGCTATGCTTGCAGCCCCAATTATGAGTCAGTTTCTGTCTTAAATAAGGCCTGTTTCACACTTCTCCACTGTACAACACAAAAGTCACCCCATTTGCAGTATATAATTAACTTCAAAATTTTAGTGTACCACTTACAATAATAACTACTTGGAAAGTGCTCCGAAGTTGCTTGTCCATCTTGCTGAGGAGGTCAAAGCTGACAATATTGATCAAGCCTGCTGTTAGGTTGTCTTTGCCAGTCACTATGACATTGGTGCTACCTGGACTCAAGGACGGAAGCCACCTGTGAAATGCCTGGAGGAAGAGGAAAGCAATTAATTGTGTTCTGGTGCTTATGTTCTCTGTTGGGATCCCAAAGCACTTCATAAAGCATCCTTATAAATGCTTAGAACATGGAGCCACACCACCCACCAACAGACATCAACTTGGAGCACAGTAAGGATAACCAATCTCCCCAAGGCAACAACCCTAGTAGTGGGAAGAACAAAACTATAAGGCCAAATCTATCTTCCATAGCTAGGAAAGTTCAAACATGCTCTATTATTCCCTCTTGCTGAAAAGCAGAATCTGATCTGTAATAGAAATTTGCATACCCTTCTGACAATGTTACTTGTTTTGCTTAGAGCCAGAGATACAGTGACCACTACTAACAGGGAAGTTCAGTTTTCCCACTAAACAGCAAACTCAGGCTGTGAAACACAAACTTCTAAGTGGTAAACATCTCACTACAGCAATGTTTACTCCACACCCAGGATGAAGTACAACTCATCCAGATCAACAAAAAATCATCCACTACCTCTCCTTCTTAAAAAGTCTATAAAAAATACCCCAAACAAAAAAAAAAATAATGAAAAGTTCAAGTTGACAACACACCAGCTGCTCTATGACAGCAGCTGAAATACATCTGTCATTCAAATCAACCTCTTGAAGTGCTCCACACACCAGAGCAAGATATCCTCCCCCAAACCCATCTGTTAGCTACTAAGCACCCACCATTTCCCTTGTTATTGTGTCCCAAATGACACCAACCTCTCTGCATCATTTGAGTTCTGCTGATGTTGCTCTGCAGAGAACTGGCTAGGGCTTCAGCAATCAGGATCTGCTTCCTAAAGAAATGTATCCAAGTGGTGATGAGAAACGGCATCTCTGCCTCTAGGCCCTTCACTTATGCAAGTCCCCCAAGTGTCAATTCTCCTCCTCTGTTCAGTAACCACATGCAGCAGCCAGAGGAGTTAAATGTGAGCTTTTCACATTTCTCAGTATGTGAGAAAGTAACAATTGACTATCCACCACTTACAGTAAGCACCATAACGAGAAATGGGCCAACAAGTGGACAAAGTTAGATCCCAACCAAAAACTGTGGCTAACACTAAGCCAAAACTTAAAGACAAATGTGGCAGCAACAGGGAAGCATATGAAAGCTCCTAGCTGTACTGCCCTCTTCTTTTATGAAAGGACATGACTAATTCACACCATAAAAGTGATCCTGTATTTATCACGTGATGCTGACCTCTGTTCATAAGAAGTGCTTTGAAACTGCCCTGACCATTAATTATTCAAGTTCCATTGCCAAACTCCAAATGTGCACGGCTGCAGTACTTCTCACCCAGAGGACCTCACATTGTCCTGTCAGCTTTCTATGATACTTTGAATATAAAGGCACTCAGTGGCCTGAGCCCAGAAAGCCAAAATAAAATGCCAACAACTCGGAGATTAAGACAATTTCTGGCAATTCAGCTCCAGAGACACCACAAAACCTTCTACTATTACAGTAAAACACAGGTGGTACAAGAATGGACTGAGTAGACAATAATAAACTCTACCTCTTTCCACTTTCTGTGACACATTTTAATTAGACTTGCACCTTTTACATTCACACAAAGCACCACAACTCATTCTAAAGCAAATGTCCTAACAAAACATCTCCCGCAGCCTCCTAAGAGTAAGGGAAGGAAGCACTTGAAGGAAAAAAAAACCCCACCACCTCATACTGCTTAAATCTCTTGAAGGACACAGCAGTTTAGTTGCAGGTGCTCAGTACTTCAGGAAACCAGGGCCCAGACTGTTACCAGCAAGTATCCCACAGAAGCCATGGATTTACATGTTGACCCAGAGATCTACAAGCCTTTGAAATACCAAACACAATGAGCATCACTCCCTTGTTCAGAAAACAGTTTTCTTTTCTTGTTGCCCAACATTTTGTTGCACTACTGGACATAAAAACAAATACCAAGATGCTCTAACAACCTGTTACAGCACGAAACCAGCAAATCCCAATCAATACACTTCTCATCAATGCAACATTCCAGGGAAAGCTAAACTCCCACCCCCTCTTGCTCAGGCATGAAATTACTGACCTAAAACCTCTGGCTCACCTTTGTCTCCTATAGTGAACATCTCACTATGGCAACCCAAAAGCCTCAGTGTACAAGTTATGATAGTGATTTATTTCAAGATACACCTCCCAGCCATGCAAGCTGTCTTGGGCTTCTGATCAACATTAATAAAGGACTCAGAGGAGTCAGCAGCACACAGTGGACAAGCCAAAACATATTATGACAGACACTTAATGATGACGAGAATGGAGCCTCTTCAACAAAGTGGAGAATCCCAGCACCTGGGCTTCTGTTCCAGCCAAGGGACTGGCAAATACTGCTATGAAGGACTTGAATACAACAGATAATTGCTTCAATGCAATTACTGTCTTTAGGACTGACGAATAGAACACCCCCTTAGAGTCAGCTGACTTGCAAGAGCAAAGTTAATAGAGGGTCAGGGAGATACTTTCTCTAGATGTCCCTCTTTCCAGCAGATCATCTGGACCACAAAATGAAAATCAGCCAATAAAAAGAAAACAGGCATATACCATACAGTCAGTGCCATGCAATTCCCCTCTCCCCACCCCAATACACGTTTTTAAAATTTTAACTTATACAGAGTGCAACACAGCACCACCATCACACATGCCCTCTAGCAGCCACCTGCACATGCTCAAGCTCACAGTACCTCTGCCCATGTAAACCTCACAGAAGAAGGAGTCACCACCAGCAAAGGCCATTCCTTCTGGTAATACGCAGCAATGCAGATTGCCTGGACAGTCTTGCCCAAGCCCATGTCATCCGCAATAAGTAAACGTCCATTTCTTAAGATTGCAAAACTGGGGAAAAGAGAGAGGGGAATTATGTAAGAGTCAAGAAATGGATTACTATCCATCACAGCAGCCAAGATGAGCACAACTCATCACCAAGCTTATAATGCGGATCACTTGGAAGTGATCTGGGTTCTTCATTAAACCTGGAGCTTTTCCCTTAGTCTTAACACAAGCAAGCAACTCTCACAAACCTCTCAAACTTGAAAGCTCCTCAGCAGTGGTTCAACCCAGTCGTTAGAGACTTTGATTTCATGAGTAGTCATCTCAAGACCTTACAGCTATTTAAAGCACATTCTTTCCATGATATTACTCATATTCTGTCCCATAGTTTATCCTGGCTGAGCTACGAAAATATTAATAATTCCCCTTTAACACCAGTAAGTACAGGCTTTCATGGATTGCATCTTGAAGTCAACAACTAATGACCATATATGATGGGGACAGGGACATTTAAAAGTTTATCTCTACATACAGTTAGCCATTTTAAATCTTTCAGGGCCTGGGTCCTATTTTCTGGCACTTCCCCATGTGCAGTTAATATTTAAAAAACAACAACAAGAGATGCACTTCAGGGAAAAAAAAATAATGACCTTACAACATAACAAAAAAATAAAATAAAATCATATGACAATTAGGCACATACTGAATCACAAGAGGGAGATCAGAGATGTATCATTTGAACAATTTTATGAGACTAACAAAATGACTCACGACGAAGAATTCTAGCTAGAAACAGAATAGATGTGTCACTCAAAATAAGTCCACAAAAACACCCCAACAAAACAAACCATACCATACCAAATAACCAAGAGCCCTGAGCACCAGAGGTATTGCTGAGCCCTCCATAGAAGAGAATGCAGTCAAGGTACCAATACAGAGTACACAATTCTAGGCAAGGACTAGCTCTTAACAGCATGAAAAAGGACATACTTCACACCTTCCCGCTGAAAGGGCATGAGGCTCTTCACAATTTTGGAGTCCACTACTGAAAGGTCAGCATCAGGAACATCTGTCCGTGATGTAGATCTCTGTATTTGAGCAGCAAAGGCTTGTATCACTGCATCTGGCAGCGGCTCCACTTCTACTGACACAAGGCTCTGTAACACTTCCACTGCAAAGAACAGAGCAGTTTATTATCAGAAAGGGGCAACATACACACAACTTTCATTATGGATGTTAGGGCACAACCCTCAGCCTCATTAACAGTATCATTTCCTATCCTGAAACAGCTCAAGAAAGTACTGCATCATGCACAGGTGCTGGCCTGGCCTCTTCCCTAAAGTCTATTCCAGAGCCACATGATGAATCACATCTCCTCCCCTCATATTTAGACTTGGTTATAAAAAAACCTGAGTCTGATGCCATCATTCAGAGATGATTGCTACTAATACAGCTGGAGCTGGATTATTCACACTGAGGGCAGCTTAGGGCACACTTTACTCAGACATAAAAGTATTGATTTGAACAAAAGAGCTCCTGAAGCCTAGAAGGCAGGGGCATCTTTATCCTGATCTTGGGATTCTGCATTAAACACCTATGAGGTCTCCACTATCTCTGAGTGATCACGAGTGACCCGAGACACAGTTACCTAAAGAATATCATACAACTTCACCTTTGAAAACTCTCTTCTCAAATTCACACAGGTTTGGCTCTGTCTCCACTTTATCACTCCTTGTTTACCACATTTGGATAAGAAAACAGGAAGCACTTCAAGTCTCAGAGAAACTGCTCTTGTACCACCATCAGCAGCACTCTGACAGCCATCCTTCAGGGACAGGGTACCAACAGAAACTCCCTGCTGAGCTAGTATCCACTGCTGTTCTCTTGGACTGGAGGACCTTGTGAGCCAGAACCAGCCCACAGGCTGCCACTTGAGTCTCTCGCCACCACTGTTGTTTCAGCCTTGAAGCCCCTCAACTTTATCTACAGCATAAACCCTTCCCAGTCAAACTAAAGAGATCCCCCGCCTCCATTATGCAAAGACCTCGGGGCCTTCATCTTTTCAACCCATGCATCACAACAAGCAAAGCGTCAGAGCAATTTTCCTCCTAGACAACCTTATTTCAGTCCCCTCTGGCCACCTATATCCCATCCCAGAAAGATAAAAGCATTTCTTTTTAATCCAACAACAAATTCCTATGAAAACAAATACCAGTTTAAAGCATGCAGTGAGCTGGGACCAGGAAAACATGTTTAGCAATCAATCTTTGACCACTGACTGAGAAATAAGAGACACCTCTACACTGGGAACCCAAACACATGTGCGCAGATCCTTCACTGCAGGAAGTAACTCTTTTTTTTAGTGGTTGATTTGTGTATGAAGAAAGACACAAAACAACTGTTTGCAAAAATAACTGAAATAGGAATTCACTATACCAGCAGTAAATGCACTCCCATAATCCAGTTAAGTATTTTTATTTCAGCTATCTCCAAGAGGAAAGCAGCAGGATGGACCCCTGCCATTTGAAGGGGGAAAGCAATTCCAAGAAATATCCATATGAAAAGATTTCCATTTGTGGTTGGGCAACAACCAAACTTTTTAAACTCTCCAGTTTAATTTATACTTCCTCAATAGCAGGAACTCTCTCCACCCGAAGTACAGCACAAGCTTGTTATTACACTCACAGACTGAGCTACGCGTTAGCATAATTGCTACAATTTGCTCACTGATAATTCTGTTGCTATTGTTCTGTACATGAGCTGGGAGAGTGATTAAGATATATCTGCCACCAGCATGATTCATCCAACAGACATTTTTTACTGAAGTGACCTTTACATAAAGACGACTGAACAACTAGGCAGAGACATTAACCTCTGCAAACAGTTACCAGCCAACAGATCTCTCTGCTGGAAATGGCAACCAGCCTTTATAAAAAATTCTTTTATTTTGATGTAGGTAAACAAACAGGCGCAAACCAAATGCTGTTCCTCAAAAAGGCACATGCCAGAAGCCTCAAATGCCCTCACAAACTGCACCCTGCAAGAAGATTTATGATTTTTCTTTTCTTTCCTCAAATCCGTAGGATTCCGAATACTTCCATGATGCATACAACTGCCAGCCAGCATGGCTGAGAGAGTGACAGACCGAGAGATGATGGTTTTGTTCAGACTGCCTAGCACATACTACAGGATCAGGCCCTGGGCACATACAAAAGGCCTTTTAGCAAACTGTGAGAGATCATCAGCTCTCACCGAAATCAGGGCCTGTCAGCATTCCAGTCCTGGAGTTTTGTAATAGCATCCACCAAAACACACATGTTTTCAAGATCTGGCATTCCTACAAGGCTCCACCACGTGGCTGTCAGCCCTACAACCATTACTAATGTTGATACATTACATGCATTATAGAAGCATGCAGATACTCAATTATTAAGTGCGCTTCAGTATCCTGTGGATGAAGGAGCCCACACTAGAGAAAAATTACTCTGAGCAACAGCATTTCAGCACTGTAACACTGTCATACTTTCTAGGGACATGTGTGGAGCACCTTATTATCTTCCTGAAGCTTACCCCAATCAAATTCCACAGCCACGTACCCTCACATGAGTACCAAGGCAAACACAGCAGGCCAACTGGCTAGATAAATAATAATTATACTACTTAGGACTTGCATAATGCTATTCATCTCAAAGCACTCTGTAAACATAACTAAACATAAAAAACTAAGAAGCAGATATGCTAAGAGCATGCCGCTGAGCCTGGATTATTCTGCAAAGGGGCATCCACTAAAAAATGCCCCAACCAAACAAAACACAACAAACCACAGCTCTTAATTTTAGATCAGTGAGTCACAGTTTCAGAAGCATTACACAGATACATAAAGGCAGGACTCTAAGGGTCAACTTCTACCAAGAAATTAACATTGTAGCAACACTATGTGCTTAGATTCCACTTGCAGGGAAAAATACAATGCTCTTTTAAAAGTTTTTTTTGCTAAGCATCCATCAACCAGCTTCAAATCAATTTGTTAGACTATGAAAATCTGCTTCAAGATCAATGCCTCTGCTTCAAGCAGATCTGCACACTTCCACAAGAGAAACAAGCAGCATTTCTTATTTGCCTCAGAATCAACTCAGCTATGGAAGCTACCTGAATTCTAGCCTGTCTTGTACATCAATTAAACACTTAACAGTTGTGCGCTGCCTGCAAAGCCATTACTACCAGCTGTAACACAGAAGGCTGAACAAAATCAGCCAGACAGCAACTAGACCTGAAACTGTGGATGAACTGGTTGTTACAGAAATCAGTTGACTTGAAAATCTAGTGCTCTGACCTGAAAAACAAAATGTGCTGTGAAATGAAATAGCACGATACCATGCACACTGCTTAAAGAATTGGAAGTAAAACAGACTGATATGTGTTTGTTTTCTAAGCAAGGGGTGCCTGTGCCAGTTTATGAATTGATATACACAAAAGGGAGTAAGGCGGGCTGGCACTGAGACTAAGGACAGCACAGCTAAAAAGAATAAGACAGAATTTCTGTAAGGACAGGAAGGCTTGGCAGCCACCATGCTGACCTCTTCAAATCTAGCAAATGGGAACAGAGGAATCCATTATCCTGCAACTCCTCAGTTCACGTAGAGCTACTGTGTAACTAATAAAATTAGCTTTGTGATTGTAAATACATCCATGTGCTCTAAAAAACAGCACAGGAAATCAGTACGAGCCATCTTCCCAATGGGTCCCTAAAGGACTGCCATGAATAACACACATTTAAAAAATTTTGAGTCTGGACAAACAGTACAAATGTCTGATAAAACAGGAAGGCATCTGCTTTGCAGTTTGTTAGCGAATTATCTCCCCACAGTGAAGAGACAGTCTAAGAAATGAAGTTAGAATTCATTTGCATCCCCAGAAAATAGCCCTAGGCAGGAAAATGCAGTGACTCACTTAGTTTGGGATAGTCCTCCAGCAGGAAATTCCACTTTTTGGTGTTGATATCTGCAATAGTTAAAACACTGTCGTAAGTCTCTTTTTTAAAAGACTGAATTCTCTGTCCCTAAGAATATGGCTATCCATTTATATCCTCTGCATTTCAGAACTGCTTTAAAAGGATCTTTTACTTATCCAGCCATCAATTTTCCTCTGTTTGACTTTTACATTAAGCAAACAGTTTGAAGTACAATTAGAAGTATGAGCACACATCTAGAAGTGGTGGTATCATCAGTGAGCCAAGGTCAGCTCCCCTAATGAACCATTGCAACAAACCCACCTGCCCAAGGATTTTGGCAACCACTTTCTCTTCACTGCAAGAAAGGATGAAGAATGTGTGTGAAGGTTCTTATTTGTCAACCAACAAACTCTGGCTTCCAGCAGTAACACCATCGCTTTCAATTCTAGCTCCGTATCTTATAAAGGATGTGCTCAGGATGGTACAGAGGAAATTCACCAATTCATCAATACCCAAAACATAACGTGAAGACCAGACTTGTCTGGCAGGTTTATCCCTGGGTAGCACCTGCCTACAACTTCCAGAGAAGGCAGAGTGAATTCAGTCAGCTAAAGACACAATGAGCCAGCTGGGGCCCTGCCCAAACAAAAAGAGCTCCAGGATTTGTTCCCCATGCTGTCACTGACCTACTGTGACACTGCACACGTCATCTCATTACTCTCTGCCTCAATTCCCACATTGTAAGTGGAAAAAACCTGGTATTTACCATTAAAATCGGAATGCCAACACAGAACCACTCTACAGTTCCACTTGCCCCAAAAACATCAGTAAAGTTGCTGGTAAACTCGATCTGCTCAGGCAGTTGCAGCCATTATACACCACAGAAAAGAAATATAGGAAAGTCTAACTGCATTTTATGATAAAAACAAAAACTTATGCATGGTCTTCATAGTCATGGCAAATTATCAGCACGTCCCCCCTCAACAGGCAATGTAATTGTGCTGAGTCCTGAAACATCACCTTGGCCCAGAAAAGGACATGTTCTGCCATGAAGCGCAGAACACACTACACCAGAACTACAGGAGCCCAAAATCTTCACCAAAGCTCACCCTTTCATGTTCTTTTAGAGGGATGTACTCTCATAAGCTCTACTCTGAAGCGCTCACAGCACTCCAAAAGCAGCCCAAACAATGTAATTATAATAAAGCAGAAACAACAGAGACTCACCATAATTTCTGGAATCCATCTGCTTGAACACTCCAATTACTTCTGCAGAATACCCAATATCAACCTCAAACCGCAAGTGAGAGATCAGCATGCACTTGCCTTTGACACAGGCTGAGGGTTTCTTCCAGTTCTTGCACATCTTCAAGAGGGATTTCACATCAACCCTATTGCCAGCCAAACAAGAGCCTGATGCCAAGGCAAGTGCATTTTCTCCTTCCAGTGGTGCCAGAATTACTGACGAAAGTTGATTTGCTGCTTCCACTACGGAGAAAAACATGAGATACAGAGAAAAGAATTAGTAACAAAGAACGCTAATGAACTAAAGATGCACAGGATGGTTTGGGAAGATAAAGGACAGCAGGATGACAAACAAACCATATACCTTGAAGTTTAAAAGGCATGATGATTCCCTGCTTTCACTCACAGGGATAAGGAATAGAGAGAGTGATGGCCTGGGGGAGCAGGTTGGTGGGATTTTCCACAGAGAATATAGCAGGGGCAGAAGGATTATGTGACAGAAAGTGAACAAGGGCTTGTCCAGCATTGTCACTACATTAGGCTCCCTATTAGCAATTCCAAAATGCGGCTTATCAGGCTAGGGGACGCAATCTGCAGATTTACATGAGCAGTAATTGCACACAGCCATACAGCATTCTCACTTACGAAGTTGCAGGGGTAGGGGTATGGTGGTCAATAGTATGTGCTTTAAGAGATAGAAAGTTGCTTCTGCAAACAGCAAAGAAGAAAGATCTAAAAATATTTGCCTCCTGCCCTATGTCAATGTCTGATATGCAACCTCATCTAGGAGGACTACTGCATGTTCACAATACTTTAGGAAGGATATGAGGAAGGAATCTAGTCGAAACCCCTAAACCTCCTTTGTTATAATTTAAGTCCATAACCCTTTATTCTACTGTGTCTTAGAGTCGGACTTTTACTTCCTCCCAACCATTTGCCCTCCAATCTCACTGCAGATTAGCAACCACCTCTGTCATGATGCTGGGGCACGAGGAGAAAAGGGACACAGCATTTTACAGCTGTCAGCCTGAAACTACAGCTATCCACACCAGTAAACATTCCACTTCTCCCAGTGTTCCTCTGCCAATCTACACATATGTTGTCGTTATTACTATAGTCAAACTGTGATAGTTAAGAATGATTTGTTCTTGTATTTTTACAGCATCAAAATAGTGAAATTCATCCCTGAGTACCCAACTCATAGGTACTACAGCAACACGAAGATTCATGAACATCTCTAGTCCATTAGACTCAAAAGCAAGGGACCCCTAAGCACATGTATTCATAGACAGAAGCAATCCTCCCTATCACATAGCTGTTTAGCATAAATCCAGTCCTTTGAGCATTAAGCTGCACATCATGATCCACTCTGCTTCTTGTAAAACAGTCCATCTTACTGATATGCAACAAAAACATACAAAAAAATCTAAGTTCAGCAGTTAAGATTTGAAAAGGGGGAAAAAAGAAAGAAAGATATTCAGACACTTTCTTCCTAATCAGGAATAAATAAATAAACCATTTGGATTTAATTCAACTTTAGTTTAAAATAATACCTGACTTCCAGAATAAACTCAAACATTTGAGATTTATATCCCAAAGAAAAAAATTAAGAGCATCAAGTGAAACTAGTTTTTAAAGTAGAGGACCAGGAAGCCACCAATTTATACTTTCTACTCCCACTGCACCAAGCAAAAGATTTTAGATGTGATGTAGCATTACATAGTTAAATCTCACCTCTACAACAAATACTGAAATACTTAAAAAAAAAACAAAAACAAACAAAAAACCATCAAAAAAACCAAACTTTCTTTTTTACTCTTTTATTTCAACATCTTTTTCTAAGTTTGACTGCATATTTAATTATTTATAGTACAAAGAAATAAATATAGTAGAGGACAACACTATTCAGAAGAACAAAATTAACTGTAGGAAGCTTTAAAATAACTGTTTTTACACTTACAAATCTCCAAACCAAGGCCCTCTTAAGTCAGTTCCCTTTTCTCAAGGTATTTTTCCCCTGGTATCATTGCCCAGTTATGATCACATACTGCCTTCACTTGTCAACATGAACTTTCTAGACAGAACTCATATTTGATAGCTTTAAGGAAAAACCCTGATTTCTAAAAACCATCCTCTTCACTTGCAAGCTCCTTGGTGCAGAGAGTCTGCTCTCATGTGTACGTGATACACTTCAAGCAAACCAGCAGCACTTAAATTATAAATGTGTGGCAACCCACATGGGAAGCTAAAATACCAGCACTCAACTGTGGGTTTTTCAAAGTGCTCAACCCAGGCCTAATTCTGTTCCCACTGAAATCAATAGTGATTTATCATTCACTTCAATACAATATGCTTTTGAAAAGCTTACCTGAAGTGTTTGCCTCTACCATCTCTCAATCTTTCCAGAACAAAATGACAGGAAAGAAAAGATAAAATCATCCTCGGTATGCCAAAAAAAGGCAAATCCATTTTCAGTCTTGCTCAAAGCCCTAAGGAATTGCCCTTTTTCCTTTTCTGACACCCAAATTAAGAGGAAAATATGTCTGGTTTGGGTTTGGGTTGGGTTTTTTGGGTGGTTTTTTTGTTTTTTTGATTTTTTTTTTTTTTTTTGAAAAATGCTGTTTAGAAAGAAAACACATGAATAGACCTAGAAATTAAGCATAAATTAAGCATCAGCAAGTAGAACACAGTTCTCAATACAGATTCATAGGAGGTACTTGCACAGTAGATATTTTTCCTATGATCAGGCTTGTCGGAAGCTGAAAAATTCAGCAACATCAGAAAAAGTTAAATGTATGCTTGGTATTTAGATTACGTGAAAAATTAGGTTATTTCTAACTAACTACAAAGTGTCAGAAAAATGGTATGAACTAGATGCCTAAGAGATAGGGATTATGTTTGAGTAGCACTGGTTTTATTACTCCAGACAATAACAAAGCTAAATAATAATTATGGAAGACAGTGGAAGGGGGTCAAGATTTGGATCATTTTTTATAATTTACTTACTGAAATTGCTGTAATCTTCCAGGCTGAAATTCCATTTTTTCATATCAGGATCTAAAATAGGGCAGAATACAAATCATTTGGAATAGCAAAAACGTGGTGGTGTGAAACAGTCATGCAAGGTAAGAAAGAATTCAAGCTACTCATGCAAACTTTTTAATACCATCTGAAAAACAGTATTCTCAAGTTTACAGCTACAGGACACCAAAAAAGCCATAGGGCATATCAATACTAAGCCAAGAAGAATCAGCAGCCATACACAGGGAGCAGCAACACATGGGAGAAACAGAAGTGGAATGTAACAAATAAAGGAGCAAGCCAAAAGGTGGAGACTCCATTGCTCTCAGTAACCCAGTTAATAGAATCACCTCATCAACTGTGAACTACAGCTGAAGTGACCCATTTTTCCGTACCAATTTATGCTAACTTCTCTTCTTTCGCTCCCAAGGACTCCAACCAGTTGCTGTCACTACACTTCTTACAGCACTGTTCATAAAGCAGGGCTTCTAATTTCTTGGCTAAATCCAAGCCCAAGCTATTTATGCCCGGAATTCCTTGCCAGTTTCAGCTGTCTTTACTTTTTCAATCCCCATTTAATACCACATATTTTACCCCACCAATAGCCGCACTGCTAAGAGCATGCGGCAGCTACAGTTCCAGCAGATGTTGAAACTTCAATCCCATATAAACAGAGATCGTAGAATCATAGAACAGTTAGGGTTGGAAAGGACCTTAAGATCATCCAGTTCTAACCCCACCTCCATGGGCAGGGACGTCAGATAACAGGAAACAACCAATTCTTACCATAGCTTTTGCTTGGTATCTTCTTAAACACTGCAATAAGTTCAGCATTATAGCCTATTTCAACCTGAAATCGGTCTTCCCCATATTTCACACATTTTCCTCTTGTAACACTATTTGCTTTCTTGCAAGAGGCAGCTTCAAAGGCAGAGCCTGCACTGAAAGAGCTGGTCAGTTTCTGCATCCTACCACCTCCCCCTTCTCTTTCCTTTGGTCTGCTTGTGCTTATCAGCATTTCTGAATCACTTGGGTTGGCGCTGCTTGGTGGTGAAACATATTTTATGGCAGATTTGTTCTGACTCTGTAAATCTTTACTACCGTCAGGGTGCCCGTTATCAATTAATCTGGGATGAGATGGTTCTGTAGGGGTTTTGAAAGCTGGGTAGCATTTGGGCTGCTGGAATGTACCAAGATTAATTAAAGCTTGTTGTCCATGTTCCTGACCACCAGCATCCAAGTAATGTTTATGGGAATAACTCAGAGAATTTGGGATCATTGTAGGCTTAATGCCACTTGCTTGTTCTGAGTTCTCTGAACAATTCTTTTGTTGCTCTCCATGTGAACCAGCCATCTGTTGGTTTGCAGGGTAATGATTATAATCTTTCTGAAGATAGCTCTTCTGCTCCATGGGACTGTTTGGATTCTGTTTGTGCTGGCTAATGAAGCTGACATGATAGTTCTCGTCCTTCAAGCTTCCCCGATGGCCTGGATTCTGTTCTTTCACCTGAGGTCCAGTGATCCCCGTGTGCCCACCTCTCTGGGCTGCTATCCTCTCTGCTCTCCTAGCCAAAGCCAACTGGCGGTTCTCTTCAATTCTTCTCTTTTGTTCCTCTGTAAGGCCTGATGACATCTTCAACAATTCAAACAATAAATCTGAATCAAAACTGCATCGGGAATTAATCACAGAGACACATGCTTCTGTAAAAGACAGTAAAAAGAGACAGGAAGTTTCAACTGTGTTCCCCCAAAAATGCTTATTGTATTGATAACTCAGTATTATTAGCGACCATTACTGTAACTGATCCTACACAAAACCCCAGTAGTACAGCAAAGCTGTCAGACCAATGCTGAGCCATTATCAGCAAGCAGATGCTGACAACCACTGCTGGGGCTTTACAGATCAGTTCCACATAGATAAAACGTATAGCAAAAAGAGAAAATCCCTATTCTGCTACAGTTCTGAGCACGCTTCTCTGCAAATCCCAGCAGAACTGGTAAAATAGCCAAGCACTGGGACGCCCTGCACTGCAGAGCCAGCCCTGCAAAGGCAGATGAAGGCAAAGCAGTACATATCTGCACAGCCTTGAGTGGAAATGTTTCATATTCATGGTACATAACAGAAAAATATAAGGAAAAATCCTATCTTTCCGGATCACCTTCTGGTTTGTGGACATCTCACAATGTGTAGCAGATATATACTGAATCCCAAAGGGCGGAGTCAGCTCCTTGCCTTGACAAAGGACGACTCACAAGTCAAAGTCATTCTGACAAAAGCGAGGACCTGGCTCCCACCACATCTCCCAGGAGCTGGCCTCACTCCATCTACTCCCTGCTTCATGCCCCAAAGGGGCTGCCCACCTCGCAGCCTTGAGACCTGTTTTCCCCATCACTCTGTCCGAAGTGAGGCTCACCCCTTGCCCCGCTCCTCTCCCAGGCACCCGGCTCCCCTATCCCAAACTGCATTGAGGTCCCGGCCCCCGCCGCGCTGGCTGGGAT